TTTTTCTGGGCCAAAAATATGACTTGGGCACTTCTCAGCTTTTCAGATAAATACATTAATTTATCTGACCAAGGTATTACTCCAGCACAGGGCAACACAGGGCCTTAAAATACACACAAAATTTGGATACTACTGTGCCTTTATAAGAACCATCTTAAACTATTTTCTACAAAATAAGGACATGGATGATGGAAATGAAAATATTCCAGATGGTTTTCAAAAACTTAGGTGGAATTTTGTCCTAAATGGTGATTAACTCATTCATGTACCTTCATAATCCTTTTAACCAGTTGCATAAATATTCCAAGTGGCCCTCGAAGATGCTGTGTAGGACAGTGAGTAGCTCATTTCAGCCCACAGGAATGCAAGATCTTTTGCTAGGGGGAAATCCTGTTCACACTGGAGTAAATATGGTTTTTGTTGTGCCTTTAATGGCATTTCTGTTCCTTTTTCTGAACTTGAGAATGGGATTTTACCTCCTCAGATGATTCTGGATCAAACCTGAATTCTAGCTTTCAGACTTTTTAAACAGGGAAAATTAAGGTGAAACTAAATAAACCAAGTGAATACATCCATCTCCAGGTGGCAGAAGGACTCTGATAACCTCCCTGAAGCAGGCATGTGCTCTAAGCAAACAGTGCCTGCAGTGCCAGCAGTGCTCCAGGCACTGGGGAAGCAGCTGTGTCACTGCACTGCTCCTACGGTGGGCAGCGTTGTCCCTGGCCAAAGGGCCCTTCCTCCTCCCACCGCAAACACAGGGGTGTTTGAAGTGAGTAGGTCATAATGCCACAGAAGGGAAAATGCACTATCTCCAGGAACTTCCAGTGAAACTTCAGACTTGACAAAGATAAGGCTAGATAAGGAATTTCAGGGACAGAGTTCACACAGGTCTTGGGCAGTATATTTTTATGTTGCAAGTAAGTGAGACTAAATACTTTCACTGTATTCTTTGCATTAAATCCAATAATTAGTTATTCATCTCCCAGCTTTGATTTTGTTAAATAACCAATACCCTAATTTAGAGGCAAGAATTTAATCCATAGAAAATTCTGTCCTGGGAGAAGATCAAAGTGAGTCCCGTGGTGTTAGGCACACACCTACAGCACTTGATACTGAAAAAAAATGAGGTGCATGTTTCAATCAGCCTGTCCCTTCTTACTGGTTCCTGTGCATTAACCTAAGCCTCTGTCAGAGCGTTTTTGGTGTCAGGGTCAAGGGGCTGCGGAGATGCCCACACTGGGAGAGCTGGGCTCTGCAAAGGTAGCAAACAAACGGGTGAGAAACCCAGCAGGCTGTGATGGCAATGCCTCCTCATTCCTCTGCATCTACCAACGCTACAGGAAGAGATTGAAAGTCTCTTGGGCGACATAAATACGCACGATAAGCTGCAGAGAGAACACAAAGGTGAAATGGCCCTGCTTATCAGGCACAATTAAAATGAATAGAGGATGACTAATAAAGAGGCAGTTTAAAATCTTTACATGACACAGTGTCAAGGCAACAGTGTTGTGCAATAGCAGTGACACAATTAACTCAGTGTCGCTGCTCGGGGCAGAGCCGGAACGGGCTCCGGGCGGCCGGGCCCGCAGCGTCCCATGGCGAGCGCTCGGTGGGCTCCGCGCTCCGCTCCCGCCGCATCCCTGCGGAACCTGCCAGCACCGGCCCTCCGGACCCAGGCAAGGCTGCTCTCTCCTCTTTGCCACCTCTGTTCCTCCCTTTCCTTTTCTTCTGCGGGATCCCAAGCCTCACGGTTACCACCGTGTGAAAAGGGGAAAAACATCAGGTTGAATTTCTGGGCACACTCTGGGGGGAGCCAAGGCTGAGGTGCTGATCCTGAACGGGCGCTGCCTGTTGACTTAGCACTGAGGAATGCAAGCATTTCCTGGCTAGGGATTTTTGCAGTGTGTAATTTACAAGCTAGTTTGGACAGCCCTTTGCTCGGGATGATAGATGGTGAAGGGGAGTGTGATCTTCCAAAATACAGCTCAAGGTAGCCTTCTAGTTCTTCATTGAATTATGTCGCTCCTTAGTTGTGCCTGTCAGGCTGCAGGCACCTCCCAGTCCACTGGGCAAGTACAGCAGGGGCAGGTTGGGTTTTATACATACATATATATATATAATATGAGTATACATGTATGTATGTATTTTTATATATACATAGATACCATATATATATACACACAACACATATATGTGTGTGTATATATATACACATTTCTAGTCACACATAAGAACATATACAAAAACACATGCAAGAATATTTATAAGAACAACAAAGATAATTTTCTTTCTTTGATGTTCTTATTTTCTGGCCAAAACAAGCTCTCTCTTGGTTTTATTGCTGCTGGCATGTCTTTGCAATGCAGCACTGTCAAAAACTAACAATATAAACAAATTTGAGGCTATGCCAACCATCGCTGAGCACAGCCAAAGCTGCCCAACGCCACAACTTGCTGAACAATGTGTGAATTTTGCAGTGGCAGAAATATTGTTTCCCTGTTCTTTCTTAACTTTTGGAAAGATCTGGGTGGAAAGTGTGTTATTCTAAATGAGATAATTAAAGTAATCGATATGAAAACTCCTTCACCACTGCTGCAGGAGGAGGGGCCCCTGTATTTGCCCAGCCTGCTAGCTCTGCCTGCCAGGGGCTGCAGGGGAGTTGATTGGAACAGTTCAAATAAAACATTATTTCTGGTCAGCAAATAATGGTTTTTTATGAGGTTAAGTGGTATTTCTGAACAATTTGCTTTATTAGAAGGCAGTGTTGATGCTGTTTCCTGTGCCTGTCAGGCTTGTGAGACAGGGGGTGGCCAAGGAAGTGTCCCAGCAGTGCCAGCACCCCTGGCCAGCTGCTAGCACAACTCAGGGCAATGGCTGCAGCACTTGTACCTTGAGGGGAAACCTATCACAGTTTCTTCGGGGCCACATCCTGCCTGCCTGTGCTTCCCACCCATCCGTCGGTGGGTGCTTGATCTCAAAGTGCCTCAAGTCACGGAGTTCCTCATCTCTCTCCCAAATGTGTATCTGCATGCCCATGCAGGGAGGCAGCGACACCCACCCCGTTGGTGCTGGTCCCTGCTGTGCAGGGCTGCACTGCAGGCTGCAGAGGCACACCTTAACCCAAGTAAAAGTGGAGAGAAATGCTGCATTTAATACCCATTTGTATCTCGGCTGAAAGTGAGCAGGAAGGATTTTTACCACATGAATGAGGGAAGGGTTGCTGTGTTTCGCATGATGAGACCACGTGCCTCCAAAACCCACTCTAAGTGAGAAAAAGAGATTTGCCACTTGTGGCAGGCAGCACAACCAAGCTATTTTCTTTGCCTCCGATAGGAAGGTAAATAAGAAATATTAACTGTGTGCAAAGGTGCCCTTTTACTTGTCCTCATCAATAACAGCTGATGTTCCTCAGGGTTATTGCTGTAACACCACTTCCCTTTCCTCACTGGAATCAGGCTCATATGAAAAACCTCATAGTCTCATAGGAAAGTGTTTTGTCCACTGTCCCGTTTGTGGTTCTGCTTTTGTCCCCCGTGCTGTGCTTTGGGGCACTGGCACGTGCGGGGATGGGGCCGTGCAGGCCGCCTGTGTGCCTGCCCCTTTCCTCCCGCAGAACGAGGGCTGGGAGAGGAACAGTTTGGCTGAGCAAAGAAAGCCAGCGGTGAGGATGCCAGCTGTGGGAAAGGACTACTAGGCTGTAACGTGCTCCTAGAGGGAGCAGATCCCTCAGCATTGCATAGGTGAAGGAGCAGCTTCCTAAGAGGAGCTGAAGTGGAGAGGGAAAAAAAGGACCCCAAAAAATTGACTTGTTGGTAAGGTAGTGCAGTCAGGTTTGGAAGCTGCTTGGAGTATGCCTGGGGCCGGACTCAGTCCCCCAAGTCGCCCCAGCTGTGGCGTCAAACAGTGGTTTCCCACCGCAGCGCTGGTCCGCACCCGGCAGTGCCTTGAGACGAGAGAGAAAGAGACTTCAGAACAGTTTTAATGCTTTGGTACCTACTGCTTCGAGAATCAAGAGGAGCATAAGCCAAACTCTGGCGATGGGCAGGACCACATGGCACGGCCGAGCAGCGAACCCGAGAGCCCGGCGGGGCTGTGGCAGCGCGGGCGGGACCCGCCGCTCCTGCCGCCGGCTGCGGCTCCGCGCCCGCGGCTGCAGGCACGGGCAGGGAAAGGAGCTGCCCGCTGTCCTTGGAGAGGAGGAGAAACAGTTACATCGGAGAAGGGGAATTAAAAAAACCCAAAAAACCTACGAGGAAGGAAGCGGCAAATGTTCAATGGGTGACTCACGGAACGGGATGACTAATGCCGCCAGGGCACAGCCCGTGTGCGCAGGGAACCGGTGCAGCGCGCCCGGCGGAGAGCGCAGGGCGGCTGCGGGGTCTGTCGGGGCAGCCGGGGCCGGGGCTCGCTCCGCTGCGCCCGGCGAGAGCCGCGCACGGAGGGAGGACGGGCCGGTCCCGGCGGCCGGGGCCACGCCGTGGCGATACCCGCGGATCGGCGGCGGTGACCTACTTTCCGCCGGTTCCTCCCGGCGCACGACACCGCCGGTGCCCGCGCCACCTGCCCGGGCCGGTCGGGCCCCGCGCCCGCGGAGGTGCGCGGCTCCCGTGCGGTGCGCTCCGCTGCGCTCCTCCCCGCGCTCTGCCCGCGGTGCCGGCGGCGGTGCCGGTGGCGGCGGGGCGGGGAAGCAGCGCGCCTGTGCAGTGCCGGGGGCCGGGCCCAGCCCGCGTTACACAACCGGCCGCCGCCACAGCCGAGTTTCACAAGTCCCGCCGCGGCTGCCCGCAGCCCGCGCCCCCCGTGCGCCCACCCCCGCGCCGCGCACCGCCGCACTGCCCCCGCCCTGCCGCGCTCATGCCATGTCACCGCCGGGCAGCGGGACCCCGCGGCCAGCCGTAACCCCTGTGGCCGGGGGGGCACGGCGCCGGGGCTCGGCATGGCACTGAGAGCGGCTCCGGGACGCGCATCTTCCTAGACGGTACGTGCGGCCGCGGGGGCGCGAACCCTGCCGGGGTGAGGCGTGCGGGAGGGAGGCACGGACCGTCCCCGCACTCGCAGCCCGTGGGGAGCGGGGGCAGCCCGGGAAAAGCCCCCGCTGCAGGGCCGGTACGCGGCACTCGCCGCTCCGCCCTGCCTTCGTCGGACACTGCCAGTACGGTCCCAGGTAAGTTCTGAAAAGGAAAGCTGACAGCCGCCAAGTCCTCTCTGATTTTTTCCTTTAAAAATCCGCGTACCGTCAAGACGGGCACAGGACGCAGCGCGGGGTGTCCGGGGGGCTCTGGCTGTAGAGGGCAGGCGGGAAGGGGACAGCGGGACCGGGATGCAGGAGCGCGGCGCATCCCGAAGCCGGACACCGGCATCCCCGTCCCGCAGCGCCCACGGACCTCAGCGCACGGAGCCGCTCGGGAGTAGCCACGGGCTGAGCGCAGCTGACAGCTGCGGTGGTTTGGGATTGAGGGAAACCCATTTTCAGGAGACTGAAATGCGTCTGATCGCAGCTTCTTGTTCTGTCTTGAAGTTCATCGTTCATGGAATGTATTTGACTGAAATAGTGTGGAGAAAAACCTCTGAAATGAGTCTTGCACCTAAAGATATCATCTAAAATCCAGGTTGAAAAGTCATTCTTCCCACCAGGGTTGTTGTGTCATTTGATTTTACAGAATGTTTACTTTATAAGTAGGGAATTAAGAAGGCTTTGAAAGTCTCTCACATGTTTCAGCCGTGGATTTGTGAATGGTAACTCCACGCCTTGGTCCTTAGTGGCAGAAATTGTGAAGTGATTGCTCTGGGTAGAAATTGTGAAGTGATTGCACTGGAAGCACAGGTCGGAGCTCAGCCCTGAGTGATTCATCAGTGAGGTGTCGCACGCGGTTTGGAGAGCTGTAGTCCTTTGTGAAGTGCCACAGTCCCCGAAGGCAGGAGGCAGGTGCCTGCTCAGTGGATTTTGGAGAAGTCCAGCACATCGGCCCCTTTCTGGGGACAGAACTGGCACCCAAGTGCCAAGTATCCCTGATCCGTGGATGAAGTTGTCTCCTTCAGCAGGGCAGTGACTCTGGAAATAATGCCCCTGAAATCAAAACTGTTAAAATGCTCCATGACTTACCTGCCTGGGGAGACTAGGGTTATTTATTAGCTGAAGTTTATTTTGCTGTCTGCAGTGAAAGCTGTTGTGCTGATTTCACTAGAGGGATTAGACGTTCTCTTAGGAGTCACTTCCTTCAGTTTTGAGCAGAATGCCAGTGCTCCCCTGTCCTTATTTTGCTGGATCACTGCTGGCTAATCCCTCGCTCTGGAAATGCGAATTTGGCTTAAAGAGACAGCTAGCTCTTCATGGGTTTGATATGTAGGCTTCACAGTCCTGACCGATCTAACGGGTGTTGTTTGAAGCAGCAGACACTTTCAGGAGTACGCAGTGTGCAGCCCTGGTCCTGAATGTCTGACAATGTGGTGTTTTGGTTGGGAATTTGTGTAATTTTTATAAACTTCTTAGGCTGCAATCCCTCACCATAGTTAGTCAGTCAGAAAAATACAATTTGGATTTTGGGTTTTTAGAAATTATATTTAAAAAAAGAAAAGTAGATCATTCTCCTGTAACGTGTTAATCAGGGCAAGGCAGCGTGTCAGTGGCGCACCAGGGAGGACCAGAACAGCAGCACTCGGGGCTCTGGGGTTGATGGAGCCCTGACAAACACAGCCAGCACTAATGAGGGCAGGAAGCTCCAGAGAAAGCCAAAAGTTGAAATTTGTGTGGAATGGAGGCATTTGTATCTCTTGGGCTAAACAAGTGTAGTACCGAGTCTTTAGAATTTTTCTAGAAGAGGTAATAGGAAAAATGGAAATGGCTTTAGGAGTGGTTGCTTGCCGCTCACTTATCCTGATTGTTCTATGCTGTGGGTTACAGTTACTTGATTTAGAGGAAAAATTAAAATTTGTTTGAAATGTGTTTATAAACTGCAAGCTTTAGTAAGATATGTGATAGTTCCTGGGTTTTAGCTACTGACACTATATCTGTATTAAATTATTTTTCTGGTTTAACACATACATCAAGTACACAAAAATAGCTCAGAGTTAAAGATTAAAATTAGCAAATGAGTAGTTCATAATTAAAGTCTCATGATAGAGGAAGTGGCATTACATTGCAGAGATACTGATGTCAAATCCAATTTCTGCTCATTAGTAGGTATCAAAATATTGGTAGGATGTCTTTACAGTTTGGAATCAGGGCTTATCTGTGCACAGAAGTTGCTTTGTTTTGCCCTAAATTACTCAACCTCCCAAGATTCACATGTAATGGTGCAAGGGTTTTAGTGCCAGCATAGATCATTCTTTCAAGACTGGAGAAATAAGCTATGTGCCTATATCAGAATAACTGAATTTGGGCTTGTACTGGAACAGTTACAGATCCTAGTGAAATAATACACTTTAAACAGAACAGTAAAACTTACAGAAACCAAAATAGTATGAACCAGTGGTTTCTGGTATTATTGAAATGATAGACGTCTCCATCGCTTCATTTACAAATCTCTGTCAGGGAAGTCAGGCAGGTACAGCAGCTGTATTTATTTGTTAGGACCTGGATGATACCCTTCTCTTGAGTGACTCCTGGCTCAGCTGAGGCCGTGCTCTGCTGCAGTAGCAGCTCTGTGCCCACCACTGTGGTGATCGTAACTCCACCAGCTCTGTCCCATCCTCAGCCCAGGCTGGGGCCATTCTGTTTTTTGGCCTTCTTCACTGCTGCTTTGGTGTGGCCAAAAGTATATATGGCCTATATGCCCTGTGGCCCATAAGCTGAAGGAGCAATGTCCCTGTAGAAAAGTCCTGCACGACTCTATTTATTGTTCCCCCAGTCTCACCTAAGCCCAGATTTAAGAGAGGCTGAGGTGGTGGCAGGCCCAAACAAAAGCTCTGTGCACAGCTGGGCTTGCTGACTGCACATCTGCCCAGCCTCAGAATCACCAGATTCAGTCAAACCACAAAGGTGTGTGCAATTAATGAGAGACTTTGACCTATTTCGTATTCCTTTATTGTCTTTGGCCTTACCTACATGGGGAAATTACACCCATTTAGTTGAAGTCTGTTTTTAAAGTTATTTGATTAACCTGATGTGACCTTGTGTAAGGACATTCTTATTTTGGTTCAAATGAGCTTATTTGGGTTCAACCAAAACCTGCACTTAGTCAATTTGCACAGAACCGAAATTAGACATGCCTAAACTGGAAGGGGAACTGATGTCTCTAAATAATGACACAACTTTCTCATGAAAGCGGAACCTTCTGTAGAATCTGGAACAGAGTGTAATTACTGACAAATCTGCAGGCAAGTGAATGCTATTCATAGCAAAGATTTCAAAAAAACCCAGGGAAAACAGGCAAAACTTAAATATCTTGGCGAGACAAATGAAGAGGTGCCAATAATCCCAGTCCTGGAATACTGAAAGCAGTGGCACAAGGCTTGCATAGCTTGCAGTAAGGCTCTCCCATGGCTCTTCAGATGCAGAAGAGGGCAAGCATTTGTGTCCTTTACTGGGAGTCCCTAGAGAGTCAGAAAATAAAAAAGCAATGCAGGAAATGTTAGGCCAGCTGGTTTGAAAACAACAGTACCCAGCATCTCATGACGTATTTTGTAGGAAAGAATAATATAATTAGGCATGGAAATAATGAGGAAGCAGGCTAAATTACAACAAGATTTTATCAAAGATGGATTGTACTAGACTAATCGAACATCTTTCTCGTATAACAGATTATTTAGATGGGGTAGGGTAGGAATGTCATTTATCTAAAGCCAGGTATGTGATACTATGCCCCACGGGATGTTATGGCTTGAAATGAAGATGGTGGTTCAAGACAGGAATTGAAAGGTAGAAAAGAACCTCGCCAAAGAGAAGATACAACCATTGCATGCAAATAAAGTTCTCTGAATGGAAAGAGGTATTCAGAGAAAGTCATCGGGATGGAGGGAGGCTGGTGGTGCTGCTCCCTTGGGACGAGTCTTGGGCCTGTTGAATGGATCCACTCTGACCTGTGTGCAGGGTGTGGGTGTGTGCCCAGGAGCTGTGTGGGATGACAAAAACTTGGAAGGAATAGTCAGTACAGAGGAGGATCCGATTATCACATTAAAGGCATTTAGATGACTGTTGATTGGGAGTGATAGACATAAAATGGCATTTAGCAGTGCTGAGTGCAAAGTAAAGTCATAGGCATGGGGACCAGTAACAAGAATTTCCAGTGTGAAATAGGAGCTCATCAGCTGTCCATGACAGAAGGGGGAGATGTGGCTGCACTGGCTGCTCAAAAGATACCTGGGAGCAAGCACTGAGATGCAGCTCGAAGGGGACCACTGACATCCTTGGATACCAAAGGAAAATAACGTGAGAAATTCCTAGAAATGTGATAACGATCATTGTACAGATAATCATACAGGATGTCAATACAAGAGCTCCACGATGTTTTTGGAGTGGTTTACTGATGTTTTGGATAGTTCTTGACACCTTTGCCAAGGAAACCTGAAATTACAGCAGTAGAAGTGCTAGAGATGTGGTTACACAAACAGACCATCTGTTGTACAAAGTGAGGTTAAAGAGCATCATCTCTTTAGCTCTGGCCAGGTGAACCACTGAAGGGACAGGCTACATTGGGGTATTTTACACACAATTGGCACAGTATAGCAAAAGGGCAGGAAAAAATAAACTAAAAGATAGCATCTGCATTAGGTCAAATTTTCTAAATTGGTCATGAATAAATTTGGGTGGGGAATTAGAAGAAGGCTTGTATCTACCCAAGGACTGAAGTTGCATAAGAGTCTTTCAATTAGGGTAGTTTTGAGATAGATCTTGATAATCTTATGAAAGAGGTTATACAATTAAATTAGAGAGTTCCTGGAAATAGGAAATTACATTTGCAGAGTTAGTTCTTTGCTCTGCAGTCTAGTCATATTTTTAATGTATGCTTGAAAGGAGAATGGATCTTGTTTGTTTACGCTTTTAACCCCATGTATCAAGTCTTCTGCTGTTTTCTTGTGAGATGAGGCAAGAAATATTATTCTCTGTTGCTGCAGGCTTGAATCTTTTTTCTCTCACATCTGAGTTCCTCTCAACACTAGACATTGAAAATGTACAGTGCAGATTCCTTGTAGCATTAGACAGGCACAATTGCCTTCAGATTTTTT